ACCAAATGCTAGTGACTAGGTAGAAATCACACACACACCAATATTGCTTTAATAAAACATATGGATATTCACATTTAGCTGGGTAAATAAAGAATATAAATAGCCCTGAGATCAGTATGTTCAGATTTAGCTGTTCAATGAGTTTGTGTCTGCTTGGGTTTTATCATTTTAATAACTTTGCCTCTGGAATCAGGAATTACAGATAAGCAACTGTGGATCTTTAATAATAGAAAACATTAGTGTGGATAATGGATAGGCCCAGACCAAAAGAATTTTTAAAAGCCATTAAAAAGAAGATAAGGAGAGCATCCAAGAAACATATATGGCTGGAGAATGAAATTTTAATGTGTCCTTAACATAAAAGTTAAAAGAAGACTCCTTGAAAGAGAACTGGGAATTCATCCTGCTTTTCTGGGAGAGGATGAACTAAGTTAACAAATCTAGGCAAGTGATGGAGCCAGGGTTGGCATTTAAAGATAATACAGCCACAAACACAAGTAGTTTCCCTTAATCAATGGTGTTAATATTTTAGAAATCAAGAAACAACAAGATAGATAAAACTGATCTTTTAAAGTTAGCTTATTTTAATCCAACCATTTGTATCTGAAATTAATGCCTAGGTGAAGGGCAAGACCTCTTATAAAATGTGTAATTTATTATTAAAGCATCAATGGTGAGACTGAATTAGTGCCAAAACCAGCCCACCACTGTAAGAAAATGAAATAAGACAAGCAATGAGTGAACTTTATTTTTGGGGAAAGCAACTGTGATAAACAGAATGGGTATACCTAGTCAAGAATATAGTAATTATGATTGAGTTCATCTTTTCCAAGAGTATATTACTAAATCCTCTACTCATGTGCCTATTTGCTAATGGAATGACTGAGTGAAGAAGAGTTCCCTGAGATGCTTAGGTAGTACTTCAAGAAACTCAAATATGTTCACGGATGCTTTTACAATCTAAATTTGAGACCCTGGCTCTTTGTAGTTTTACAACTTTGATCTAAATCTCCATTTTCTCTATCTCAGTCTGATCAGACATCTCATATCTCATTGCTTTGGGGGGTATCCATTATCCAAGCTTTTGTTCTCATTACTTCTGCCTTCTGGGATTTCTTTCTTAATTATATACCAACACTCCACATCTTCAAGCTTTCTTCAAGACCTACCTAAGCTCATCTCATTCTTAAGTCTCTTGGGGTCTTTGTCTTTGAGTTGAACACTCACAATAATCATCTCTGGGTTGTTTTGTGGGTTTTATCTCTTGAGTAGCTGTAACATTTTGTCCAACACACAAAATTCTGTGTAGCCCATCACAGATGAGGAAATGAAGCCATCAAATGGTAACTATTTGCCAGTCACAACAATTAAGGTTGGAGAGACAAAGATTAAGTCTGACCCTCAAACATCATTAGGCAAAAATGGTGGGAAATTCCCATATCCTCGTGGCACAATGTATCTTTGCTTTAGTTCAAACAAGTCCTAAAGAAGCGTAGATCCAATCGAGCAATCCCACTCCTAGGCATTTACCCAAATGACCACAAACAAGGCCATACTAAAGCTACCACCACATCCATGTTTACTGTAGTATGATTTACCATAGCTGAGGTATGGAACCAACCCAGATGCCAGATATCCCTCAGTCAATGAATGGATCAAGAAGCTGTAATATATATATAGCTGTAGTATATATATATAGCTGTAGTATATATATATATATATATATATATATATATATATATATATATATATATAGCTGTAGTATATATATAGTAGGTTGCATAGTACCCCTAATTTGTAAGAACTAGAATAGATCTATGATATTCTTAACAGGGGATTTCAATAACCCAATTGCTTTGTGCATAGAACTTTATACAATGAAGCGTATCAACATAAACTCCAAGATTTGGGAACAAGAGGTTCTTATTATGTCCTGCATATAGCTTTTCTTTTTCTTTTTTGTTTTCTTAGTTTCCTGTAGCTTGTGACTTGTATATAAGATTATTCAATCGGTGGAAGGAAAAGGGAATCACAGACACAGTAGGACAAAGGATGAACTAATGCAACACTGATACTCATTTGTCACTATGTTGGATGTAAACCTTACAACTGCGGGGGCGGGGGGGGGGGAGGTGAGTAGGGTGGGGTAAGCAGAAGAAAATAGGGATATGGTATCAGTATTTAAAAATATATGTACTAATTGCCTTACTTATGTAACTATAACCCCCTGCTAATCACCTTTTCAATTAAAAAAAAGAGGTGTAGAGCTGGGAGAGAGCCCTTCCAGCGTGGGGGTTGAAGAAAGGCATCCTGGGTGAAGGTGGATTTTATTCATTCATTCAGCAACAATTTCATAATGTCTAGTTGCTACAAGGAAGAATTCAGATTCAGACATTTTATTTGTGGGATTCCTGCTGCTGCCATAACAAGGTACATCCGAAGAGCCAAAGTCCTAGAAGCCAGACGTTCAAAATCAAGGTGTCATGGGGCCATGATGCCTCTTCAGGCTCTGTAGAAGGACTGTTCCACGCCATCACCTATGCTCTGAGAACCTCCAGTCTTCTTTGAGCTGGAGATTATCCCTCCATCTCTCCTCATAGGTCATTCACCTATGAAATCCTCCTTCATGAGGATGCTCATAACACTGGATCAGAACCAACACTATTGCCTACATTTCAACTTGAATGCCTCTTTAAATAAAGACCTTAGTCATAAAAAAAAAAGATGTTTCCAAGGCACTAGAGGCCAGGTTTTGGACCACAAATCAACCTGTAGCAGAGATGCAGAGATGAGAAACACAATGACCTTGAGAGGATGACCCCAGTGTGAGGAGACAAACCCTGCATTCCAGTGGAGCTCCACAAACTCACAGTGGGAGTCAGGGAGTCTAAACAGTGTTTGCTGCATCCTTCGCTGATTGGAGGATTGATGAGGACCTGGGCCTTCACGTTCTTTACACTTATAAGTAAGAAAACACCAGCACATGGTGATATCTTAACAATTGCTTCCCTCCCCCCTGCCTAACTGAACAGCAACAACCAAAAAAGATGTGCCCGCGCCTTTGTATATTCCTTAGGAAGGAAGAAGAAAATCAAATTGCAAGATACTATGCAGAGTTTATAAAATTCCTCTCTTACAACATCATTTTTATAGCAAAAAAATATTCTCACTATTTTAAAGATCGTTAATCAATGTAGGGCAAAAAATTAATTGTATTTATGTTACTTCCAATCCTCTGTAGTAAATAAATTCTAATAAGCTGCCTGGTGCTGGTGGCTCACATCTGTAATCCTAGCTATTCAGGACAATGAGATCTGAGGCTCTGGATTCAAAGCCAGCCCGAGAAGACAAAGCAGAGAGACACCTATTCCCAGTTGATGGATGAAAATCTGCAAGTGGAGCTGTAAGGCAGTAGAGCGCCAATCTTGATTGAAAAAGTTAAGGGACAATGCCCAGGCACTGTTAAATAGATTATATATTGTCTATGTCATATATATTATATATAATATGTTATCTATATGACACTATGTATTCATTACATATTCTATGTTTTACATATAATATATATTCATGCTACTTATAAAGTTTGTACAAAAAGAGATTTCTCCAAAGAGGCAGTGATACAAATGAGAAATAGAAACTATCTTACTGCTCTGAGGAAATTCATCTGTGTCTATTAATTACCCAAAACAACTGCATAACAACACACATTTCTTCAAGTTCAAAGCCTGTATTCTCAAACGACCTGCCTATTAGAATTGCTTATTTATGAATTTTGAAATTTTCTTTTTGTTTCAGAAATATGAGATTACAACACAGAAAATAAAAGAATAAACCCAAACTACTAATGTCAAATAATTCAGTGGCAATGCTCAAATATTGTTGGTGGTAGTGGTGGAAGTCATGGGGCTTGAACTCAGGGCCTGGGCACTATCCCTGAACTTTTTCACTCAAGGCTAGAGCTCTACCACTTCCAGCCAGAGTCATTTCCAGTTTTCTAGTGGTTACTTGGAGATAAGAGTCTCACAGACCTCCCTACCCAGGCTAGCTTCAAACTGCAATCCTCAAATCTCAGCCTCCCGAGTAACTAGGATTACAGGGGTGAGCCACTGGCTCCCAGCTTGCTCAATTATTTTATTAAACAGAAAAAGAAAAAACAAGTTACATATGACTTGCATTATTCTTAAACTTGCACTTTATGTAAGGGTATAATTACAAGAGGATTTTCGAAGTGGTTGGTTTCTCCTTCATTGTTTTGTTTAGTTTTGTTTAAGATCATCTTTTGTTATTCTTTTTTTTTAATGTCTGGAACTACTGGAATTTGAACTCAGAGGCTTGCTTGTAATAGGCAGGTGCTCTACCATTTGCCTCACCTCTTTTGATTTTAGTTATTTTTCAGATATAGATTCTCACATTTTTGTCTGGCCAGAGATTCTCCTATGTATTCCTTCCATGCGATTACAGATACACAGCAACACATCCAGCTTATTAGTTAAGATGAGTCTAGCTAACTTTTGGTGGGGGGGTAGTGAAAGGGTCTTGGGCTAGCTAAGAAACTTAATCCTCCAGATCTCACTTCCCAAGAAGCTAGAGTTACACACATGAGCCTCAGCCTTTCAAAGTTTTCCTAACACAGGTAATTCACTTTAACCTTAAAAAAAATTGTGTAATGTTTATGAGTCTGTTTCTTATCAGATATATAGTTTGTAATTATTTTCTCCCATTTTTTTGAGTTGTCTCTTCACTCTGTTTCTTGTTTCCTATGTTGTACAGAAGCTTTTCAGTTCAAAAACTTTGATCTGTCTCCCTTTGCTTTTGTTGTTCTAGGCTTTGGGGATCCTATCCAAAATATATTCACTCAGATGAATATCCTAATGCTTATTATAGCCAGGTAGACATGTACCCCATGTATATGTATAATTATTATATGATTCTTAAAGATACACTTTTAGGACAAATAGGTGAAAACACAGAACCACCGTTATTATTAGAAAACATACCGAGATGCTGTCTTCTTGTCGATATTGCTTCCAGTTGCTCCCACCATCGCTGAACATCAAGAGGTAGCTGGTCACCCAATCAGAGCTCCCGTATCCTCCCTGAGTGGCCACGGCGGTAACCTTCATCCTTTCTCCAAGGTCAATCTGCAGCCATTGGTATTTATTTGATACAAATGGAGTCCAGCCACCTGCTCCTGTTAGGGAATTTTTAAAAAAGTAGAAAAGTGATCAAGAAAAGGGGATTTTTTTAAATTTTTATTTATTTTTTATTGTGAAAATACTGTACAGAGGGGTTACAATTACATGGGCAAGATAATGAGTACATTTCTTATCAAGCGTTGTAGCCTCCCCTCCTCCTTTGTTTCCCCTTCCCATCCCTTCCCATCCTCCCCCAGCCCCTTACCCAATCCTCTCCCCCCACACCAAAGTTGTAAAGTTCGTTTTCGACATGACAACTTGTACTTCTCGTTGCAACGGGTCCACCTGTATCCTTATTTAAACGACTTGTTTTTCCCTTTCCCCTCCACAAATTATACCAACATCAAATACAGTGAAAGCAGGAGTTATACTTTGGGGGAGGGACATACAAAGCAACAAAGAAATAATCTTATAAATGCGTTAGAAACAAATGCATGAAAGAAAGAAAAACATTTAAATACATATCTTAGGGTTCATTTTCCTAACATCACCTTATCTGACCTTTTCTGCTTGACTCAGACATATACTAGTTATTGCAAATAAGGGAAATCATGGGACCTATGTTTCTTTGGGCTTGGGTACTTCACTTAATATAATTTTTTCCAAGTCTTTCCATTTCCTAACAAATGGGGCAATGTCATTCTTTCTGAAGGAGGTATAGAATTCCATTGTGTATATATACCACATTTTCTTGATCCATTCATCTACTGAGGGGCATCTGAGTTGGTTCCATATCTTAGCTATAGTAAATAATGCTGCAATAAACATAGTTGTGCTGGTAGCTTTAGTGTGGTCTTGTTTGTAAACATTTGGGTAAATGCCCAAAAGTGGGATTGCTGGGTCATAGGGGAGCTCTATGTGGAGTCTTTTGAGGAACAAAGAGGGGATTTTTAAAATATATCTATTATTTGAGTAGTAAAACGGTGAGATTGTAAATAAATGTTAAGTTGAAAGTTATGAGCTAGGCGTGGTGGCTCACATCTGTAATTCTAGTTACTCGGGAAGCTGACATCTGATGATTGTGGTTCAAAGCCATGCCAGGAAAAAGGAGACTTTTATCTCCAATTAACTACCAAAAAAAAAGTGGAGGTGTGGCTCAAGTGGTAGAGTGCCTGCCTTGAGGGAAAAAGCCAGGTTAGAGAATTAGGCCCTGAGTTACAGCACACACACACACACACACACACACACACACACACACACACACACACACACGGAGTTATAGATTGTCATTAGAAAAGTAAAAGAAAAATTATGTACACATGTATAACACCTACACTGCTTTCCTAGTTAGCTGGATAATCATCTGACTTGCCAACAACAAGAGTCCCCTAGAATGGTGAGGGTTTGAAGTGGTACAGGTACCTGTCATGTAGGGTGTATTTAATACCCAATGTGCAGAATCTGTCCTTTGCCTAACAAAAGAGACTAAATTCCTACTGCAGGGGGAAAAAAAGCAGTATAAAGATTATGTAAACAAACATAGCTAAAATCCAGCGCTTGTGTTCCCTGTGCTAACCAGGCTCCAAGAAAGAACAATTCAAAGGCCCAAGGTGTCGTTCATTTGTGGTGTACACATTTTACGTGTACAAGACCCTCGTTTAGATCCTCAGCAGCAAAAATAAACAAAAACCAATCCCACTTGTCTCAGAATCTGAGAAGATTGAACTCACAAATGGAGAAGAGAATGGTGTTTAGCCAGTGACTGAGGGGTGTAGACAGGGGGGAAATTTGAGACATTTGATAAAGCATTTTCAATTATAAATTATAACAGCCAGGCTCAGGTGGCTCATACCTGTAATCCCAGCTACTCAGGAAGCTGAGATCTGGAGTTGCTCATTCTTTGGGAGAAAAATAAGAGTGCTTGATATTAAGAACACAAGTGGAGAACAGAGATTTTACTTTCAGTGATTATTCAAGCCAAGATAGGAACACTAAGAAACATCTTATTGAAGTTAGTTATTTTTTCAAGACTCATAAATAATTAGGAGGATTTCTCCTGAGCCACTACTTTTTAAATAATCAGTGTTTAAGAAACAATATAAATAATTCTCAACCTGCAGAGCTTGGGACATTTCACTTTTCCCTAGTTCTGTTGCTTACTTGAAGGCTCTGATCAAAAGGTCTGAAATTCTAACCAGTGTATTATTATCTACTGGAATATAGTTATACTTATATCTTCTTGTGTGTGTGTGTGTGTGTGTGTGTGTGTGTGTGTGTGTGTGTGTGTGCGCGCGCGCATCAATACTGGAGCTTGAACTCAGGAAAGTCTGTGAGACTCCTATCTCCAATTCACCAAAAAGTAAGAAGTGGAGCTGTGGCTCGAGGGGTAGAGCACTAGCCTTGACCAAGGCCCTGAGTTCAAATCCTAAGACCAGTACACACACACACACACACACACACACACACCCCACTACAAGAAGGAAATATAGAGGAATCTAAAGCACACAGACTTTTTGCAAGATAGATCATAGGGCTGAACAATGTAGCCACCAGTAAGAAATGCCAACAGTGGAGACAAAAGGATAAGAAATACCAAGGTCTAGGTTTGGGGAGAGAACACTCAAATTACTATTTCACCTCTGACAGTGACGGACAAGCACACACTCAGTGTTCTCGTGGGATAGCTGGGCATGGACTCTTTTCTGATAAGCTATGTGTTTTTTCCTAAGTCCTTTTTCAAAACTCGCAGATTAAGCTGGGTGGCAATAGCTCACACCTGAATCCTAGCTATTCAGGCGGAGGCTGATACGTGAGGATTGAGCTTCAAAAGGCAGCCTGAGCAGGAAAGTCCCTGAGAACCCAATGACCAAGAATTAACAAAAAGCCAAAAGTGGAATTTTGGCTCAAGTGGGAACGTACCAGGCTTGAGTGGAAAAGCAAAGGGACAGTGCTTAGGTCCAGGTCTAGGGTGAGGAAGAAGTCGATTTGTGGGATTATTTTAGAAGCTGCCCTCACATTTAATAGAAATGCATATGTGTCTTTTCCTGATACTTTAAAATCTACTCATTATATTTTTCCCTTATCCCCCCCAACAATAAATTTCATACCAAATTTCATCCTTGAGAGTCTTAGATTTCTACTTATATTATTACAGATTCACTGCACGCTTTTCAGAAGAAGCTACTGCAGAGTGTCAAATCATGAATAATAACATTGTCTAACTTATTAGACCATGGAAATGTAGACTACCTTAAGATATATATGTACACATGTTCATATTCTAATTTATATTAATTTTTTACTTCAGGATCTGAAATTACTCACTACAACAGGGTATATTTTCCACGTGTTTCACCACTGTTATACCTTTTTTTTTATCCTGTTCTCTTTATTTCCTCTCTAAGAAATGTAGCCCCTGGCTAACTCTGAAGCCTGCTAAAACCAGTGTGAGCAGAGATTTTAATGAGACATAGTGACCCAGGAGTCACATCACACAAAGAACCTCCTTCATATTTGACCCTTGGATACAACACTAGAGGACGGGCTGGGTAAGGGTGAGCCATTCTTCTGATATTATAATATGCTGTTAATTATGTCCCCACATTCTCTAGGTTTGCATTTTCAAATTGTTCACCCTTCCCCTGCCCCAACTCTTCCAAATATGCAGCATTTTTTTAAGCCTGATGTGGAATGTTTATATGCAAAGAAGGAAATCTTACATTACAGCATTGTAGCTTGGGGGAGTGAACATATTTATAATCACAGAATCTTGTGTTTACTCTCTTTGGACCAGTATTTGCTATGATTTAAATTAAGTGTTCCCAGAAGGGCTGTCTGTTAAAGGTTTGGTCCCTGATGGGAGGGACTGCTGGGTGGTGGTGGAACTTTTAAGAGGTAAAGCTTTGTGGGAGGCTTTTAGGTCATTGGACTTACAACCTAAAAGGGGATTGTGAAACTGGAACCCAATCTTCTTTGTGTTTTTTTTTTTCTCCCTGCCCAGGACCTGAGTATTTTCTCCATGTGTTCCTGCCATGGTATACTGCCTCACCACAGAACCAAGCACATGGAGCCAATTGAACATGGACTAGAATCTCCAAAACCATGAGCCAAAATAAAGTTTTTCCTCTTACGTGTTGGTTGGAAGTTGACTGATGTGATATCACACTCATCACATTGATCTGTGAGTAGTTAGGATACCACTCCATGAAAAACCACCAACTCCTCCATTATGTCAGAATGTTCGCAATGTTCATGGGAAGTTTCTGTCATTCCATTTGGAGGATCACCAGACTTGTCTTCTGTGTTTATAGCGTGTGTGTGTGTGTGTGTGTGTGTGTGTGTGTGTGTGTGTGTTTGTTGGTACTGGAGTTTGAACTCAAGGCCTCAAGCTCTCTCTTAGCTTTTTTGCTCAAGGCTGGTGCTCTACCACTTGAGTAACAACTTGATGGCCAGCTTTTTGATAGTCAATTGGAGATAAGATTCCCTCAGATTTATCTGCCTGGGTGAGCTTTAAACCTTGATTCTTAGATTTCCACCTCCTAAGTAGCTAGGATTAGAAGCATGTACATCCATGCTCAGCTCTGGCTTCACTTTTTTGTTGTTGTTGTTGGTCATAGAGCTTGAACTCTGGGCCTGGGAGCTGTCCCTTAGCTCTTCAGCTCAAGGCTAGCACTCTACCATTTAAGCCACAGCACCATTTCTGGTTTTCTGGGGGTTTTATTGGAGATAAGAGTCTCATGGACTTTCCTGCCCAGGCTGGCTTTGAACAACAATCCTCAGATCTCAGCCTCCTGAGTAGCTAGGATTATAGGCATGAGCCATCAGCACCCAGCTTGTTTTGTGTGTGTGTGTGTGTGTGTGTGTGTGTGTGTAGTATGTGTGTAGTATGTGTGTGTGCAGTGTTCCAACAGTTTGGAGAGATAAGAGTCTCATGGGCTTTTCTACCCAGGCTGTTTTTGAACCATGATCCTCAGATCTTATCCTCCTGAGTAAGAAGAGAGAAA